TCCCTCCTTCCCCAGCAGAGTATCTGGTGGATTTGAACCGCAAAAGTCACTTTTTAAGGTTGCTAGGGAGACCAGAGGTTTATCTCTGGTCTTGCTATGCATCAGAGAGCTGGACAATGACTAGGGATGATAAAAGGACAGTTGATGCCTTTGAGCTATGCTGCTGGAAAAGAGTACTGAATATACCACGGCCTGCTAGGAGAACAGGCAAGGTTGTCCTGGAAAGGGTGAAATCAGGCTGCTCCTTGGAGGCAAGGATTCTGAAGCTCCGTCTAACATACTTTGGACATGTTGCAATGAGAGATCAGGCCTTGCAGAAGGCTGTCATGCTTGGGAGGTTGGAGGGACAGCGGAGGAGAGGAAAACCCTCGATGAGATGGATTGATTATGTCAATGGAGTAATGAGGGTAGGCGTGTTAGTGACACTGATATTGGCACAGGATAGAGCAGGGTTTAGGGCTGTTGTACATAGGGTCACTATGAATCACAAGCCACTTGACAGCACCTAACAACAACAGGTAGACAGGATGGGAGATGTGTAAGAAGCTGTACTGCAATCCTGAAAGCATTAGGATCAAGTCCATCAGGGGTTTCCCAAGACAAGCATAGCAACGTCTTCCCCTGTAAATAATGCCTTGAAACTCTTCTAGAAGGACAGTTATGCTTCAGTTTATACTCACAGGTACTCAACAACAAGGAGATGAGAGACCAAGGAAACAGCACAGCTCTGTCCTTAACCTTAAAAAAAAATGGTTTCAGTAGTTTTTTGGTTTTTTAAAGTTGTATTATTTTGTACATGTTTACCGTCAAATTGGATCTGACTGGTACAGGAGAAAATTGCCCTTCTTTGTCTAGCACAGAATCTGGTAGATTTGAATCACGCATCTCTGGTATCACAGTACAGCCTTTTGCCACTACGCCACCAAAGCTCTCTAGTTGTTGTTGTTGTTATGTGCCGTTGAGTCACCTGCAAATCATAGAGACCCTATGTACAACAGCCCTAAACTCTGCTCTGTCCTGTGCCAATCGCACTGTCTCTGACATTCCCATCCCGATTACCCCAGTCACTGAGTCAATCCACCTCACAGAGGGCCTTCCCCTCCTACACTGTCCCTCCACCCTCCCAAGCATGACATCCCTCTCCAAGGACCCGGCCCTCCTTACAATATGTCCAAAGTATGTCAGACAAAGCCCCAGAATCCTTCCTTCCAAGGAGCAGCCTGGTTTAACCCTCTCTGGGATGAATCTGTTTCTTTTCCTAGCAGTCCATGGTATATATATTCAATACTCTTCTCCAGCACCAGAGCTCAAAGGCATCAATTCTCCTTCTGCCATCCCTAGTAATTGTCCAGCTCTCTGATGCATAACAAGGGATGGCAAAGACCATGGCCTGTATCAGACGCACCTTAGTCTCCAGAGAGACACCATTGCTCTTCAGAACTTTAAGAAAGGAAGAGAAATTAAATTAGCTCCTCTTTTTATTCATTTGGAAAATACATACCTGGGCTACTATAATTTAAGAATCTCTACAGCAACTACGCATCTTTTTTTTAAAGTCTTTATTATTAATAATTTCCATTAAAATTTACAGAGACTTTGGATTTCCATTCTTCATTGTTGTACTTTTCTCCCTGCCCATCCCTTCCCCCACAGGTTCACTCTTCTCTTTAAAAAGTAAAATTATTTCATTGCTATACAATCCCTGTCCAAGGTCCACTCCACTATGCAGCCTTCATTCTGAACTCATGTCATGACAATAATTGGCTTGTCCCCATGATTAAAGGTAGTGGATGTTCCCTAAGAGACGGAAATCCAAGGGAAAGAGCCGTCCTCATTTCCCGTGTGCTCTTAATGGAAAGCTACATCTATCATGACATGGGCATCCGCATTGTTGAAGAAGACAGGGTCAGAAAGCCAAGGGGTCTGCCGGGGCCTAGAGCTCGGACTTTTAGAGTTTGAAAAGAACGGAAGACTCAAGAGAGGAGACCCAACCATCCCTCAGCCCAAATTGTTCCCATGTTGTTCAGAAGACCAGCAATGGCAAAAGAAGGAAAGCCCTTGGGAAGTGAGTTCTCGCTGCAATCCAAGGAGGGGCCGTTAGGAGGCGGATCAAGCATGTGATGGGGTGAAAAGAATTAGGGTAATCTAGCACATCCTGGGGCCTTTGGTCCAGGAGAGGGGGACAGGTCACACAGAGGAGAGACAGAAGTCAATTTAGGAGATTTTCCAAAGAATCTCAACATGGAATCAAGGCACATTCTCGTCTCTCTTACATAGCAATAGGCCACAAGAACTATTTCTCCAAACAAACAAAAAGTTCCAAGTCACTTTCTGGTGTTCACTTAGCTTTTTAGGGGGCTTAGAAGAGAATCCTTGTGTCCGTGGGTTAGGGTTGCAAGGAGGGAGGGAGAGAGAGAGAATAGAGAATGAGAGAGACAAAGAATGAGAGCGAGAGAGAGCAAATGAGAGAGAGAAAGAGAGAGGAGAGAGCAAATGAGAGACAGAGAGAGAGAGAGAGAGAGAATGAATGAGTTAGGGATTTGGGGTGTGTTGTTTCCTGGTAAGTTTCCCTTCCACATTTTGACACTAGAAATATAAAGTCACTAAGGAAGGAAAGAACCTAGATCAGGCCAAGAAAGTTTATTGAGGAATGACAGACAGGCAGACTCCAAAGCGGAGAAAGCTCCAGGCCTAAAGTTAGGGTGACGTTATATACTGTTTTAAGAAATGTTATAAGGAAGTAGAATGGTTTGTAGACAGTTATTTCTGGGAAAGGGAGGGGGAGTAGATCCTCGGGACTAACCTAAGTGTTTGCAAAAATTCTACTTATTTATATGAAGATATGCTACTAGATCTGCTCCTTTGAATCCTGTTCCTGGTCCCCTATTTAAGTTTGTTTGGTTTTTTAAAAATGTTATTATTTTGTGTGTATCATCATATCAGATCTGCCTGGTACAGGAGAAGATTACTCCTCCTTCTCCAGCACAGCACCTAGTGGATTTGAACCACCTACCTCTAGGATTGCAGTACATCTTCTTGCCAGGAGGGCACCAGAGCTCCCTGATCCCTCATCTATTTTCAAGTTCAACCACTCTGTTAATATTACTCTGTGTTGTTGAGTTACCTGCAACTCATAGTAACCCTACATAGAACAGCTCTGAACCCTGCCTTATCCTGAGCCAGTCTCACTAATTCCAATACACCTAATTCTATTATCCCAGTTATTGTTTTAATCCATCTCATCTGAGGTCTTTGCCTTCTGTACTGTCCGTTCACCCTTCTGAGCATGATTTCCTTCTCCAAAGACTGCTCCCTCCTGACCATATTCCTAAACTATGTGAGATGAACCTTTGTGGGAAACCAAATACTAAACTAAATACTAAACCAACTGTGAAACCAAACGCTTGCCCAGGAATTGAGGGAGGCTCAAATGCAAGCTGGAATTCCTCCTGAGACAGATCTGTTGTTCATAAGGTTGTTCTGGGTTGTACTTGACTCAACATCACCTAACAACAGCTAGTATTCTCACCTAATGGAAACAGAATCAGGTACAAAGGAGATACAAGAAGACCTGCACTTCTCAGACAAAACAAAAGACTCTCTGGAATACTGCTTCACACAGGCCTCTGAAACGAACTGAGCTGTACCATGTATGTGAAGACTATATGGATTTTGGTTAATGTTTCACCATTTTCTGGGCATACAGAGCTAGAACCAGTGGTCCATATCCGTCCATGCCCATGTTTCTCCTATCCTGTCAACCCTCTAGTTAACTATTCTAGTTAATCTTTTTGGTTTTAAAATTTCATAGTATTTGTTTACTGTGACACTGAAAATTTATAATCTTCTAAATTTATTGGATGTCTAACTTCACAGTATTTTACAGAGATACCCACTTAAAATGTCATTCATTGGTACATGTTAGGACTTTAAGCAGCATGACGGCAGCCAAGTCTGACCCAGTAAAGACCACAAAAGGGCTGCCCCCATCAACGATGTCTACAACACAAAACCAGTTCCCAGCTGGAGTGGAGATTCCCATATTCTGCAGGTAAATGTGCTCATTCGTAAGGATTCTCTGCTCTATTGATGCTTTTTTTTACCTCCAGAGGGTCCGTATCAAGCTACAGGTAGTCCCACAAAGATGCGACAATTGGAGACAATGTATTGATAGCATTTCCCCCCTGTTAAATCTGTGGATTAAACTTAGAAGCAGAGGCAAGAGCCTGTCCAATTTCCTGGCAGCCATATGACATGTCCCTTTTATGAGATCTTTCATGGATAATAAACTCTTCCTTCACCTTGAAGGTTATCTGACATTCACTGCACTCAAAGCGTTCCTCCATGAAATCGCCCATGTTTACTGAGACTTGAGTGCTGGGCACAAGATCTTCCACATTCGCTACGTGAAAAGGAAGCCTTTCCTGTGAGAATTCTTGGATTTGGTAGGAGGCACGACTGTGGTTGACCTCAAGGCCAAAGTCAGGGCCAATACTGGGCTTAGCTCTCGCATGAGTTCGCTGATGAACAACAAGGCTTGCCTTTTTGATGAAGCCTTTACTGCACTGACCACAGACATAGGGTTTCTCTCCAGTATGAGTTCGTTTGTGAATATTGAGATCTCCCTTCTTACTGAAACTTTTCCCACACTCCATGCAAGGATAAGGTCTTTCTCCGGTATGTGTTCGCTGGTGTTTACAGAGATTTGACTTCTGGATGAAGCCTTTACCACATTCACCACATTTATAGGGCTTTTCCCCAGTATGAATTCGCTGATGAAGGGTGAGCTGACTCTTCTTCCTGTAGCTTTTTCCACACTCCTGGCACACGTAAGGTCTCTCCCCAGTATGAGTTCGCTGGTGAACAGTGAGCACTGCCTTTTGGATGAATCCTTTACCGCATTCTCCACACTTATGGGGTTTCTCCCCAGTGTGAGTTCGCTGGTGGAGAGTGAGCTCATGCTTCCTGATGAAGCCTTTCCCACACTCCATGCACACAAAGGCTTTCTCTCCAGTGTGTGTTTGCTCGTGGGTATTGAGGTGTATCTTCTTGATGAAGCCTTTACCGCATTCTCGGCACTTATAGGGTCTTTCCCCAGTGTGAATTCGCTGGTGAATTGTGAGTTCGTTCTTCCTGATGTAGCCTTTTCCACATTCCAAACACACATAGGGTTTCTCTCCAGTATGAGTTCGCTGATGGATAGTGAGCTGCACCCTGCGGGTGAAGCTTTTCCCACATTCGTTGCATTGATACGGTTTCTCCCCAGTGTGAGTTCGCTGATGAAGCGTGAGCTGACCCTTCCTGATGAAGCCTTTTCCACAATCCCTGCACACGTAAGGTCTCTCTCCGGTATGAGTTCGCTCGTGATAAATGAGTTCTCTCTTCTTGATGAAAGCCTTCCCACACTCCTCGCATTTAAAGGGCTTCTCCCCGGTGTGTGTTCGCAGGTGGAGAGTGAAGTCGTTTTTGATGAAGCCTTTTCCACATTCCATGCACACGTAGGGTTTCTCTCCAGTGTGGGTTCGCTGATGAACAATGAGCCCTGTCTTCTGGATGAAGCCTTTACCACAGTCACTGCATTTATAGGGCTTCTCCCCAGTGTGAATTCGCTGATGGACAGTGAGGTCATGCTTCCTGATGAAGCTTTTCCCACACTCCCTACACACATAGGGTCTCTCCCCCGTATGCGTTCGCTGATGAACAGTGAGGTATAATTTGCGGGTGTAGCCTTTCCCACATTCACCGCAAATGTGAGGTTTCATTATTTTGTGAGGTTTTTGACTTCTGTGGAGTTCGGTCTTAGTGCTTCTGGATTTCTGAGTCTCAGAAAACACGACTTCCTTACACAATGGATCACGGTGGCCATGAAGCAAAGCTTTCTCATCTCCATTAAGCACCAAGGTGTTCTTTATTTGACTGCTTCGTCTCTCGTGGACTGTGGGTGAAGGTAAACTTGATTTCACCGTTTTTTCAGGAAATTCAAACAGACCACGGTTTTTCAGGAAATTAAAACGAGTTTTGTGCTGAGGATCTGTATTTCCTAATACATTAAAGTGACTGCATTGTTCCAGCCTGTGTAATCTTTCCTTAAACAAGAGCCCAAGCAGACGACCATCAGCTTTCTGGACTTCTGCGAAAGAAGAGAATAATGAATCCTCCCTTCATCTGGACATGGAATAGAGCCAGTAACATAAAAAAGGATACTGAGATACTTTGGATCTTTCATGAGTACATTCAGATACGAGTATAAATAAAAGACCAGATCTACCGTTACTTGCATGCTGATAAAAACACAAGAATTAAAAGCAATTAGTGTGAGAATAGGAAGGAAGTTCCTGCAGGGCATCTGTGGGGAGTTGGTAGTTTGAAGGCACTTCCTATTCTGAGGAGGACGAAGCAATTTTCTCCTGTATGATTTATAACCAGAAACCCTCTGTAAGTCAGGTGTGGTTCAATTCCAACTTGATGGCAACAAGCTTGGTTGAAGACGAACAAGATGACATAACGTATGATGCATGAACCCAGACCTGATGGTTTTTAAAATACAACTCACTGCCTTCATGTTGGAATCAATTCATAGCTGATGTCTTTTGGGGTTTTCAAACATAGTGAGTCATACGTAAGGAGACTCCCCATCTTTCTCCTGTGGAAAAGCCGAAAGCACTTGAATCACTTTCCTTTCAGTTGCAAGAACAATTACTCACCCACTAGGTAACCAGTGCTTCTTCTAGAGATTGTATTCTACAAGTCAGTTTATGACACACACAAATTAGAGGTTGTATGGCCTGTCATTCTTAACTGGTTCGGGATAGACTCATTTACTCCATAAAAGTGTACTGAAAGGCATGTAAATACCAGGCACAACTACATAATTAGCATTTTAATTTAGCAACATAAAGACTTAGAACAAATATGAAAATGGATATTACAACATCTAATCTTTTTTGTAATGCAAATAAATAAAAGGGTTTTTAAGCAAAGGAATGCATAGACAGATAAGGCACTATTAGCCCCAAACTCACTGGGAAATCAGACCCTTTAAATTGCTCAGAGTAGAGGAAAAGTCTATTAGGACCACAGTTTAACAGAAGAGCAGAAGTTGAATGAAGTCAGAGAAATGATGGTGATGGATTATGGTGTGAGATGGAAGTTACTAAACTTTTTTCAGCAGAGGAATGACAGGGCCTGACAGAAGTTTTTAAATCACCATGCTAGAAACTATGTGGACACTAAAAAAAAGTACTGCAAATATAGATATACTCTCAGAAGTAAGAGTATATATTCCTCTTCACTCTTCTAAATAAAAAGGGAGTGATTCATGGAGCTATTTTGATTTGTCCTCAAACACCCTCACACATGTGATACCTTCTGTTACTTGAATGGGACTCCCACAGCCTTCTCCGTCCCCTGGTACTCTCTCACTCACCCGAAAAGCTTCCACTGTGGTTGTCAGGTAATAAAGTCCATTCACCTTGTTCTATCCTGGAGAGTGCATCAGATTTGCTAAGTTGATATCCTGTTCACGGGAAAGCAGACAATCTTAGACACTCTAGATTGGTAGTAGTTTAAAGATTAAGGAAAGCAATTATGGAAAAAGAAAAGTGTCAAAGATACAAAGCAAACAGTTTCTCTGTGAGGCATAGAAAGATTCCCTCTGATGTTGGGCTAGAAGCAGAGCGAGAACTTCCTATTTCAGAACACTATAAACACTCCTAAGATTTTAGCAGCAGGGAAAGGAAGGGCTCATGCCAGGAGAGTGGTCCTCACCGATGGACACCAGGTTTCTGTAGTTCTCCAACATCACGTCCTGGTACAGGGCCTTCTGACCAGAGTCCAGAAGTTCCCATTCTTCCCAAGTAAAGTCTATAGTCACGTCACGGAATGTCAGTGCTTTCTGTAAGAACAACAGGACTACATTTAATGAAATATTTTCCAACTGATGATACAAATGAAATGTGAGGGAAGCTATTCATTCAACTCTTCCTCAATGTCGGCTGCTGCATCTACATCCTAAACACACAATTTTTTTAATTAATTTTAATGAAGGTTTACAGAGACTTAGGGTTTCCGTTCATTCATTGTTACACTTTTCTCTCTGCCCACCCTCTCTCCCCCAATTCGCTCTTATCTTTGAAAAGTAAAAGAAAAATTCTTTCATTTTAATACAATCCCTCCCCCCAAGTCTACTCCACCGTGCAGCCTTCATTCTGGACTCCTGTGATGACAATAATACCCAATCATATATTCCTTTTAAACAGTTCTCTCCCTCATCTGTTTCAATGCAGTATACATCATTCCTCCCCTCCTTCTCTGTCTTCCCTCAATTCTGTCAGTCCCGTTTTACAACAGTGGCCCTATACAATATTTGTCCTTTTATGACTGAGATATCTTCCTCAGCATAACGTCCTCCAGGGTCACCTATTTTGTACAATATTTGATGAGTTCCTTATTTTTCGATGCAGCATAGTATTCCATTGTGAGAATATACCAGACCTTCTCTATCCATTCATTTGTTGATGGGCACTTACTTGGGTTGTTTCCAACTCTTTGCCATTGTGAACAAAGCTGCAATAAACATGGGTGTGCAGTGAACATACTTTTATACAGATTCTTTTAGAGACATAAGTTGTTTACACATAATTCTGAATTTATACTTTCGGTCATCCAACCCTTGTGAGATCAGAATTTTCTAAAATGTACAGAAGTGAAAACATTTCACAAGCGAGAAATATTTCACATTTACACACACCTCACAATAGATGTATGTATCGATAGGGAAGTTACTTCCCATTATTGTAAAACGACAGTAGGATGATCAGATCAGCAGTTAATAGTGGCATTGTCAGAGTATGTCCAATTCATGGGGACAATGATCAGAATCTCCCTGCACCCACAAACTTTTATCAATTCCCTCATCACTGTCCCTTCCACAGCACCCTACATTCCTTGAGTTCCTTGATCTATAGGGATGAGCTTGGAGAACCCACAGACCATCGTTATAGAGAAATGGATGACTGAGGAACAGCGTAGATCTTAGTGTCACACATTTGGTAGGAGATTCCTCATTTCCCTTGTCTTTATTTCCTTCTGCATCTTCTCTTATTTCTGTCTCTGTCCCACAAACCTCTGTAGGGCCGACCGCTTATATGGACAAACTCCTCAATTTCAAGACATAGCAATAAATGTACTTGTTTCCTGTAGGCCTAAGCACATTTGCAACTGCCTGGTAGGCACGCCTGGCCTACAATTCATTTTCATCATGACTTGTAGATAGAGATTACCTGGAAGGGCACAGCTGCAGCCAGGTGGAAAGTATAAAATCACCTTCTTTGCAACTTTCCCAAGAAATGTCAGTCAACCCAGAAGATAGCAACAAACCCTCCAGGGTTGAAGACTAGGGCAAAGATAACACCTCATGATTTATGAGACAAATCTCTCCGAGCTCTTTTAACAAAGAACTCAACAGAGAAGGAAAGAGTCAAGGGAAGGATGGGTGGTGTCAGAATTGGTGACCAGGCTGGAGAGAGGTGTATCTCACCTGTACCTCATAGGAATCAGCCACGAGCTGAGATTTTAGGGTACACACTCTCTCTCTCATGAAGGGAAAGGGGTCAGACGCACATCCCTTCAGACACCAACCGTCAATGGAGTTCTAATAATCCCTAGTCAGATTCTACGTGCAGTGTCATTGGTTTAAAAGTCATCTCACTGATGATGTATCTCTGATATTATTTTGCCTGATGAGGAGGATCTTTTCTTTTTTTTTTAATTTTATTTATTTATTTATTCTTTTTCTGTGTGTACCGTCAAATTGGATCTGACTGGTAATGGAGGCAATTGTTCCTCCCTCTTCAGCAGAGCATCTGGTGGATTTGAACCGTGTACCTCCGGGATTGCAGTGCAGTTTCCTACCACTAGGCCACCAGAGCTCGCCAAGGAGGATCTTTTCACTCACTCAAGTTATTATCACTGTTCCCATCTAGTTGGAATTAACTAATAGCCCTCTAGCAGGTTTTCAGAGACAGTAAATGATCCGGGAAGAGTTCACCCACTTTTCTCTCGAGAACCTGCTGGTGGCTTCAAACTCTTTGCCACTAAATTTTATCTCTAGCTTTGCCTTTCCCACCTTTAGAGATGAATGTATGTTCTAACACCTTTACAAATCCATTAGGACACAAATGAGCAAAAAAAAAAACCCAACCCAACCCAAACCAGAAAGCAACACATGCTGGGAAAGTTATTCACTGTTGGTGGGAGTGTAAAATGGTGCAGCCACTATGGAAGGCTGTGTGGCGTTTTCTCAAAAAAACTGGAAATAGACCCATTTGACCCAGCAATTCCATTACTGGGGATATACCCTAAAGAAACCAGAATTGCCACCCAAGCAGATATATGCACAGCCATGTTTATTGTTGCTTTGTTCACAATAACAAAGAGTTGGAAACAACTCTTTATACAAAATGGGTGACCCTGGAGGACATTATGCTGAGTGAAATATCTCAGTCACAAAAGGTCAAATACTGCATAGTGCCATTGTTGTAAAACAGGATTGACATCAGGGATGGGGGAAACTAAGAAAAGAGGGAATAAATAATGTTCACTACATTGAAAGAGATGAGGGAGAGAACTATTTAAAATAAATATATGATTAAGTATTACTTGCATGACAAGAATCTAGAATAAGAGCTGCATAGTAAAGTGGACTGGGGGACTGGATAACAATGACAGAATTTTTCTTTTTTTCCCAAAAAAAGTGACCTAT